CTCTCTGGAGATATGTTACATAATTCGGTATGTAAAGTTAAGCGGTGCCTAAATAGGCACGTCTCATGGGCATTTCTACTGTACGGTGTATTTTTTCTCAATTCGGTGCTAAAATTTATATTTAGTTTTTTAAGTAGTTTCAATACAAAAAAATAAATGTTACTCCATTCTGAATGTAAAAATAGCATTGTCACTAAATATTGTGAAGTGGTTTATGAGAAATGTTATGCATCGAATTGAGAGAGCACCGAATTGAGAAAATTAATCACGGAATTGAGAAATGAATCTCCAAATATAAAAATCGCTCCGCAAACTTAGAATTGATGACATTATGAAGAAATACATAATGTATTTCAATAATTAATATAATAAATACTTAAAACGTTTTGATATCTGATTGCTGGTCTATTAGTTAGATGGTTCATTTTAGGTTTATGTGTCTGAAATACCAATGGAATAAAACAAAAATCCTAATCAATATGTTTAATTGTTTAATAAGGAACTATAATAAATTCCTAATTTTTATATATTATTTTAATTTTATTTAAATAAAACAAATAAATACATAACACAGGGTCTCTTTGTTTATTTATTCTTAACCTTAAACATAAAACAAATATTGCAAAACCCAAGAGCTAGATTGACCTGACACTATACCGAAGATATTATATCGGACGTCAGTTTGTACACGATTAAAATGGCACTCAAATAGCTGAAATACAACAAGGCACCAGGTGTTACCACATTTCATCAAATTACTCGAAAATATTATAAATTACAACGATTTCTACCAAACGTAATGGCAGATATCAGTTAAATACTTAATTAATTCAGCAGTAATCTCATTAAATACTTCATGAACATTATTAATGTCGCACACCGGTTTGAGAAATGACCAGTGACCAAAAATTCTGAGTGATTTCAAACCTCTGAAAAATGCTCCTCAAAGCGACTGATCCCTCTTTTATACTGCTCGACCACTCGAGTGCAACTGCTAGTTTATGGGAATCAGGCGTGGGTGTTCGTATTGTGCGTTGTTAGTGATATAGGAGCACAAAAGTAAAAATCACGGAATTGAGGCACACACGTCGGACAAAATTTAAATGTGTTACTGTATTAAAACCCAAGGACTTGCAATAAAGAAACTCATTTATATAGCTTTATTAACTATCCCTTGTTCTGTGAATGTGGGTTTCATAATAAGGAAGTTATTATTTCAAAAGTTATGAAGCAAAAACGAGTAAATTCTGGAAACCGGACACTCCATTTTAGGCCAAATTTCGCCCGTTTTTGAACTTTCGGATTTTTTCAAGGCGAGATGTAAAACCTGGCGGTCTTCTAAATATGCTCTCCATCAAGTCAAGAGTCCTATAAATACGTGTGATTTTTTTCAAGTCCGTACTTCAATTTTAAAGGTACTTTTTTCGCCCCAGTAGGTCGATCGGTCGTCCCCGTAGAAATGCCCTCATAATTCTCTACTATTTAGTATAGAATTGTGAGACTTCATAACGTCCCTATTTGATTAGTTACTTATCTCTATGAGTGTTTCAACGTACAATGCAAAACATACTAAAGCTAATGAGTACTACCTAGCCGAAAATTGTCTAAGAAAGCAGCCATTTACCTAAGAGTCCATAATCTATGATTAACTTAGGTACTTACCTGTTAGTAAATTAAAGTTATGTAACTTATCGGCTTATTTTGCTACGTCATTGAAGGACTAAAACTGTATAAAATAGAAAAAACTCCAAAACGTAGTAGTTTGGATGGTTAATAACTTACTAACTACAATATTTCAGTGTAGAATGAAGGATGAGTACGTTTTGGTTTAACAAGTTAAAAAATATAGATACTCCCCGTACAAGACCAGAGTAGCTTACTAAGCTTACAAGATAACTACCCAAAGCTACTTAATCCGGCTAAACTTGGCACTACACTGCCGTGCATCCAAATAGACTTGGCAACATTAATCGAGGCCCTATGTAGGTAGAGTTGGCTTAGCGTACGTCTGAGAATTTACAAATGCATGGCTACATTTAGACGAATTTTCAGATGCTAAATGTAGAGTCCTAAATCTTGGTTTAAAAATGCATGACTTGCCTATGTAATGTATCTACCTTTTCGTCTTGTTGGAAGTATTAATAAAGTCTAAATTGAGAAAATACCTACTACAGTGGGTTACTACAGTTAGTTGGTCGCTCGGGGAAGGGAAAGGGACACGCGCCCAGGGTCACTCCAATTTGACAGGGGGATGTTAACGTCGTATTTTTTTTTCAACCATAAATTAAGGGTTGTAGCTAATTATTTTATAGATATTAATCTATGCAAATTGAAACTTAATGACCTACCTACTGTGTATAGTTATATGTATGTATACAACGTGTCCCAAAATTCAAGGATAAGCCGGCGCCGCAGGGTGGACCTAGTCATGACTGCTTTAGGAAAAATAAGAAAAAAATCTATCTCAATTATTTTTTAAGTTACACAATAAATTATGAAATTCATCGAAAATTGACACCCCTTATGATATTTTACATTACCACCACTACAATTTTTCAAATACTTCAGTTTTTTTGTTTGTATCGGCAACTTAAGTAGTGCTGCTGTCCACCCCAATTCTTAAAACCCTCAGAATCCTTGCAGTTTTTACACAAAAGTTAATCAAAATATGATATTTCCTTAAAATTTTGAACGATTTTTACTTACACTCCACTTTGACTCGTCGTTTTGTAAAAAAACAGTATGAACACTACTGCGGCAAGTTTTTTATAAAGTTGACGCAACTATCCAAGATTCCGAAATGGTATAATACACTAAGAAAACTAGTCGCAAAAAGATATGCGTACCATTTTTACAAGAACTTCGCTTGTTAGTTAGTATGGGATAAATCTTGCAACTGAATTTAAAACCAGTTCTCCTTAACTAATTGAGCTGAAATTTGGTATACTTGTGTAAGTACGATGACAATGCAATATTATGGTACCATTGAGCTGGATGGAGTGTGGAGGTGGCCATAAGAACTCTTAACGAAACGGCGGAATTACATCTAGTTTGGGTTCGTTGGACTTGTCTTTTCGAACACTTTAGTGCTAGATGATGTTCAGGGTCCTGATGATGAAGTCAAGAGGTGGCAGGAGCTGGCCATAGGAACTCCTAAACGAAACGGCGGAAGCTTATCGAGTTTGGGTTCGTTGGATTTGTCTTCCCGAGCACTTAGGCCATGAGATTGAGAAACAACTAAAAAGCTTAAAATAAAGTTGTAATAAAAAAAACTTATTTAAAAACAAGCTTGACTTCGTTTGAAAATTATAATTGACTTCATCATCAGGACCCTGGACATCATCTAGCACTAAAGTGCTCGAAAAGACAAATCCAACGAACCCAAACTCGATAAGCTTCCGCCGTTTCGTTTAGGAGTTCCTATGGCCAGCTCCTGCCACCTCTTGACTTCATCATCAGGACCCTGAACATCATCTAGCACTAAAGTGCTCGAAAAGACAAGTCCAACGAACCCAAACTAGATGTAATTCCGCCGTTTCGTTAAGAGTTCCTATGGCCACCTCCATACTCCATCCAGCTCAATGGTACCATAATATTGCATTGTCATCGTACTTACACAAGTATACCAAATTTCAGCTCAATTGGTTAAAGAGAACTGGTTTTAAATTCAGTTGCAAGATTTATCTCATACTAACTTACAAGCGAAATGCTTGTAAAAATGGTACGCATATCTTTTTTGCGACTAGTTTTCTTAGAGTATTATACCATTTCGGAATCTTGGATAGTTGCGTCAACTTTATAAAAAACTTGCCGCAGTAGTGTTCATACTGTTTTTTTAAAAAACGACGAGTCAAAGTGGAGTGTAAGTAAAAATCGTTCAAAATTTTAAGGAAATATCATATTTTGATTAACTTTTGTGTAAAAACTGCAAGGATTCTGAGGGTTTTAAGAATTGGGGTGGACAGCAGCACTACTTAAGTTGCCGATACAAACAAAAAAACTGAAGTATTTGAAAAATTGTAGTGGTGGTAATGTAAAATATCATAAGGGGTGTCAATTTTCGACGAATTTCATAATTTATTGTGTAACTTAAAAAATAATTGAGATAGATTTTTTTTCTTATTTTTCCTAAAGCAGTCATGACTATGTCCACCCTGCGGCGCCGGCTTATCCTTGAATTTTGGGACACGTTGTATATGCGTAGCGTGTAAAAAGACAGCGCACCCTTTTCTGAAATAAAATTTTGTTGAGAAAACTTATGAAATACTTGAGTGTATTACTCTTTGCTATATTAATTTTTATAGGAGATATGATACAGTATCTACATATCATTGTAGGTATGTAAAATTCAAGACCATTAATGTAACTTACTTGCGAAAAAGCTTTTTCGAGTTGACCCTTACAAATGTGACAATATTACCTTTACATATTTTTTTCCTTTTATAACTACGCAGTATTTTCAATTTTATACGTAGATAGCTCTTGGTGGCTGAAATTCGAGTATCCCTTGCGTGAAAATATGAAAAATATCGTTTATTACCCAGTTACAGTTGTAAATAAGCAATTCAAAAATTCCCAGAAAATGTTTCAGGTCCAGTTCGGTATTTTATTACCATTTTACTAGAGTTCAACCAACACAAGCCGTAAATTGCGACGCAGTTAATCATTTTTACGCGTGTTTTCACTTTCAGCCTTATTTACCTACATAATTATTTTTCTTACACTGTAGTTTTTCAGTAGGTAACTCAAGAAAAACAACTCGTTAGCCCAAAAATATTAAATCAGTCAATCAAGGCCTACACAAATATGTTTTAAATTCGGTATGAAATAAGAGTTATCAAGTACGCACAACATAAACAGTGCGTCTAACGCAATTTGTTAAAAAGTCCTCAAATTAAACGCCGCATTGTGTTGCTAGACTAATTACACTAAACACATCAATTTCAGATGAACCGTACCGGTAACTAGGTCATCACAACGTGCCAATAATTATCACTCACCTAAGCGATCGGTCTTGGCGGTGGCGGCCGGCACTTTTTTTGTACACTAATGTCCAAGATGTAGTAGGAAATACATCCTACACGATCGATTGTAGTATTCGAGTGTTTAGATTTGTTTTTAGATGCGAAGCGTTATTTTATCGATTGGGCGGCGCGCCGCCGCGCGTTCTGGCACGGAATGAGCGCCACCCCGTCCAGGCGTGCGCGCGTTTTCCGCGATTTCCCGCCATACAGGCAGGGGGATGTTCCGAACTTGTTTCTAGGCACGCGGATTTGCGCATTTCGTAGTTAGCATTGATGGGAACCGGGAAAGCGTGTTTTGGTTTTACTTTTTACAATGTTTGAGTTAGTGATACGGGGACGTAGAGTTGGGGAAGCATTGGGCGCCTTCACTAACTAACTGGTCTTATTTTGTCAAGTAAAATCTATCAGAAGTTCTTTAACAGGTGACTACTAAATATTAGAGGAAGGAACTTAAACTTAATATAGGTACCATTTACATAAATAATGTACCATATAACTTAACACTACACATGAAATGATACACATAAACACGAAAACTAAATGGCTAGTTTCTCCCACGAAACTCGAAAGCATCATTAAACCAAATTCAAATGCAATAAATCTACGCCCACTCTTAAGTGTCAATTAGTTATTAATTTATTTAAACTGGAATGCTCGTTCGTGAGCACGCCTCAAAACGAACCTTGTTACAAAATTTTAATTAAACCATCACAAAATGTACAGGAGGGATGCTTGGATGCCTTCCTACGCATTTCCTGCCTATCATAATTCTACCAAAGGCGTATTATTAAAGTAGATCTGTAATGTTTTCTGATTTGTCCTTGCCCCTACAGTCTACCCCATCATCTTTTGTTTAAACTCCGCTGCAAATTCTGCAACAGTAAATATTTATCAACATTACTCGATTATCTATTAAAAGGAAGAACTTGTAGTGGTGAAAAGATGGAGGGAAACGTTCCCACAGAATTGATAGAGCAGGTAATATTAAGATAATAATAAGCTATAAAACATAATAGACGTTTGCAGTTAAGAAAAAATCACCCTGTAGAATGTAACCAACATTCAACCACGTCATTTTGACCACACTTGTGGCACAGGCAACAGATATCAGCCTGAACAATTTTATTGCAAAATCATCCCTATTACCATAGTCTTTAGCTTATCATCTCCCTGAATGAAATCGAATACCAGACGTCTAAGTATAACAAGGTTGCAGAATGTGGTGTTTGGTGTTCATAACCTATGTGTAATTAATTAACTGCTGTTATTAAATCAGCACGTGCTTATTATTACATCAATTAATACAGATTAGTAAGTACGCTTTAATATGTAGTTAGGTATGTACAGTCGATTAACGCCTTTGCTGTAGTCTTAATTGGTACAAGTTGATAAATAAAGTTAATATTACTTAACACCACTGATTGATTCGGCTTACAATTTTTTTAACAAATTAAACTTTGGTAATAAATTGCAAGAAAATTTTAGCTACCTACTTTTTCACGAGAAACGTAATTTTTTGCTTTTTTTAATTTTTTGTTTAGTCTTAATAGTGCTACACATAACAAAAATTAAAATCGGAATGAAAAACTATTTTCTTTTGGCTCTAATCTTGATAAAGTTTTCAGTAATAACCGCCTATGTTTTTTTAATTCCTGACGGGTAATGAGAATGAAAAAATTCACATTCAGTTCAGCACAAACATTTCTAGTGCTACACAATCCTACAAAATAAAATTAAAACGCATCTCGCCTGCACAATTTCAGCGCGAGTTTCCTCTCGAGACTACGGCGTAGATAATCCGAGGGGATGAACCCCGCGTTGGGGTTGGTTAGGGACCACCCCGCTAGAGCGGATGTTTTCATAACAACGATGCACTTGGCGCAGGGGTCGGCAACATTTCTGTTTAGTTACTGTTTTTCTTTTTTGTCTGTAGTTGATGTAACATTCAATCAATTTCAGCGAAATATCGAAATTGTTAGAAAATGTTACTTATCTAATTTACAAAGCTTAGTTATTTATTAAGTTTAATATCTATGTTCAAAGCACTTAACTATAATGATCATTTGAAATTTTTTTATTCATAAAAGTTAAACCTAAACCAGTAAGCAATGAGCAGCAGCCCTTTATTTAACATCCCTCTTCTTCAGGTAAAACTACTTCAGGTAAAACAACTACAGTAATGTCTTAGTCTTAACCAATAAAACATGTTCGCGTTGAGATCTGTGTTTCTCTATTTTAGTTAAAACAGAACACGTCATTATTAATATTTATTACCTACTAGCTTTCCGCCCGCGGCTTCGCCCGCGTGTAATTTTGTCTGTCACAGAAAAACAATATCGCGCGTGTTAACTAATTTTTATTTATTTAATTATAAATTTATAACCTTTATATACTGATATTTAGATTTATATATTTATTTATTTATGTAGATAAATATATGTACCAACAATTAAAACAATATATTTTTAAATATAACTTTTATTTCTCAATATTATAATATTACTAATTTTATAATTATAGGTAGAATAAGAATTATACTATAATCAGATATATACGTTTGTTTACATGAAAAACACTATTCAAACTTATTTTCTGAAATCACCATTATAGTATACATAAAAATACAACGAGCAACAAAATAATAAAAAGTACAATAATTATTTACTTATCTCGGTTTACAGCAACAGCAAGTTGTTCGGGCAGAGCTTCCGCTCTGTCCGACCGCCAGTGGAGAAGTGTGTCCGTCGGCTTGAGCCGCTCCGCTTTTATAGAGAGTGGAGGGGGCACAAGTCGGCGGACGGAAGTCTTATTTCTATTATTTAAATTGAAACAAAGATTTTAATACAGACAATATTCATTACTAAATTGATTTTAAATATTAAAAACAACATTCTACGTAACCATAATAATTTTATATGACTTTATGTAATTTTATTATCAGGACACGTGGTTNAAATTAAAATCAAAACAGTAAAATGTTAATATCAATTTTATTTAAAATAATGATTTATTACAATATTTTTAGAACATTGTTATAATAAGAAATAATTTATATCAAAATGCGCCGGGGTTTCCGCTTCCGATCACACTGTAGCGAAAACCACGTTAGCATTTTTGTGGCCAATGGCGGGCAGTCGATGGTGAACTATCGTGTCGAACGGACTATTCTGCCGAAATGTAATTGTGTAATACTGATGAGTAATATTGTTGTACAAGTTATTCAATAAATACTATGAAAAGTATCAACCAGCGTTTGAACTTAAAAGGAGGATAAAAATAGGTAGATAGATGTTAAATAAATTCCACCTGCGTATTTTTTACCATGTGCTTGGCAACTCCTGCAGGAGCGTCTAGCGTAAGCACGTCCTTTTCACGTTACTAAGTACAAGCTTCACCACAAAAACTTCAATTATGTTCTCCTGTGTGTATGTTCACCGTGCATTTTTTGTCTCCTCATGTTGGCGCGCTTCAATAAATGAAAAAAATAATACAGACTTACTTAGCTAACATAGGAAGGACTACCTAATAACTAATAAAAAAAAAATCAGCTCAATGGGTCATCGGGAAGAGGGTCAATTTTAAGTTGCAAGATTTGACGACAGACACCAGACATGTGAAAGTAAATAAAAGCTTGTAATAAGCAAAAAGTATTCTATAGCCTGACCAGGAACATAAAAACCCTCGCCATGTTGCGGAAAACTAATGGTACTAATTTCTTTTAATGGCAACAGTAACATCTCTACTTAATCTGTGACAGTAACTGAAAACTTCATTGATATGTCACCTTGCATGTCAGTATATTGCTGTCAAAGTGTAAACAAACTTTATTTTAAATGTGCGCAATTGGTTTTATGAATTAAATTGCTAAAATATTTTTATAGTCGTGAAAGATAAGTGGTTCACAATGTGTTAAAGTATTTGTCGAAGAGAAATACTAAGGGTTTGGACAATATTTTCATTGAATAATGTTTCCGACAAAGGTTGTCAAATTGACTGACATGTTTATCGTATAGTACAGTCCACTATGAAAATTAGCTGTGGTTTGTTTCAACTACCTATTTTAAAATTTTTTGTCACTTTCTAAGTGTTGAATTTTATGGGATTGGGAAAGAAGTACCGAGTTTGAAGCGTTCATGAGCAGACATTGCAGTTGAATATTCAAGTTCTAAATTTGATTATTGATGAATAATAAAATGAATTCTACAAGCTCGATTGATGGTTTCATTTAATTTATTTAAATCAGGTTACCTATAATAATATTTTTTCGTTAATTTATGAAAATATCAAATTAGCCCGTAATCCTGAATCCTCATACATAAAGTTAGCCTATTAATTTAACACAGGTACGACTGTACTCAGTGTTGCACTATCAAATGCAATTGACGCGCCACTATGCCAGGGTTTTTATGTTCCTGGTCAGGCTATAAAAAACAATTATAAGTAAGGCAAAAAGTAGGTATACATTACAATTATAATACAAGTGATAAAATTAAATTTTATACTCCGAAAAACGGAGACTAATGCCCGTTTTCACCATCAATCCCTAATTTTTAAGTGACCCCTATGCCCTATGATAACAAATAATAGGAATTTTGTTGTCAAAGGGGTCACTTAAAAACTAGGGATTGATGGTGAAAACGGGCATGAGACTCCTCCATTTAACTTTATAAACTCTTGGACAAAGTCCGTCAATGATTTCCACGAGAGACGACCTAATCGTAAGGCAGGATTCACATTGACCGGCGGCGCAGCGTCCGTTCGGCCAAAAATATAGTTCCAAAATACTGGACTGTGGCGCCCCACTGTCAATGTCATCGATAGGACCGATGACATTGACAGTGGGGCGCCACCGTCAATACCGGATCGCTGGTTCCGATTTTTGCCACGTTGGAAACCATATAGTTGAACGATGGTAGCGCCCCCCTGTCATTGAGTTTGGTGGGACAGTTCAGCGTGGGTTATAGTTCCAAAATACTGAACTGTCCTGTGCATGACATTGACAGTGGGGCGCCACCGTCAATACCGGATCGCTGGTTCCGATTTTTGCCATGTTGGAAACCATATAGTTTAACGATGGTAGCGCCCCCCTGTCATTGAGTTTGGCGGGACAGTTCAGCGTGGGTCATCTATATCTATACGGTGGAATACTCGCGTCTGCGCGCGTATGCGTGCTCGCGCATCCGTCCGCATTGAAATGTCAGTTAATCAGTTGTAGTAAGCAATTACGACTCTAAGAACTGTTAATAAGGCAGGATTCACATTGACTGACGCGCAGTGCAGCTCCGTTCAACCGAAAATGCGGTGGAATTACAACTGAACTGTTAATAAAATACTATAACGGCCATGTAGCTCTCCGACGCGCGCCGGTCAATGGGTATCGTCCCTTAGATTCTAAGGGTTCGGACAAACCAACGCGATCACAGCGCGATCAGCCGGCGTGCAGCGATGGCGACCAGACCTAAATGCATTGATCGCCATCGCTGCACGCCGGTTGATCGCGCTGTGATCGCGTTGGTTTGTCCGAACCTTAACATCCTACAATGGGTCTAGTCAAAATGCCATCGCAAACCAATAGGAAGTTTTCACTAATGTCAGTCGCCGCGTCACCAGTAATTCGATTCGATCGGAAAATGGCAGCCAAAATGCACATTGAACCACCAACGACGCGGCGACATAAAAGTTCATTCAAAATCGAATAAAAGTTAAAAAATGTCTATGACTTTGCGATTGTTTTTACTTTTTTTAGCTTTTTTTTTTTAAATTAGTTTCTTCCTTCTTTCTGCTCTCTGTTTACGTCTATGCTTCGCTGTCAAATTAGCTGTCAAAACGACATCGCGATACGGATTTGTCAAAACAGCCTTAGGGTGGGTTGCACCATCTTAGTTTAACTTTGACAAACGTCTAAAATCTGTCAAACTCCATACAAAAAACACCGGTTAACGTCATAGTTACGGTCAAAGTTAAGTGGTGCAACTCACCCTATTGGTTTTCGATATAATCGAAGCTTATCACCGGGGTTTAAGTAATCGCAATGAAAATGGCGGGTGTTGCGATTCGATTCGATTTTGATTGAGTCTTAAATGCATGTTGGCTAAGCCTTTGTATGGGAAATTTCAATCCAGTCTTTCGATTATCGATAGGTAGGGCTTTGCGATTCGATTTTTTGCCGTTTGACTAAGCCTTTTTTGTTATCGACCTCTTTTGCGATTTGTTTGTTTGTTTGCGACTGGTTTGCGATGGGTTTGCGATTTTAAAGTGCGTTTTGACTAGACCCACTGATCCTACGTTGCCAACATAAAATCGCTTTTTACGGTCGTTATAGTTATTAGTAACGTTATCGTTATTCAGATGATACAATTTCTGAACGAACGTCTTCATTTGACAAGTTTGACAATGACATTTACTGATAGGAAAAAAAAATATTTGAAGTTCAACGGTAAACGGTTTTTGTGTTTGTGTTTTCAGTTTCTTTCTTTGTAATTGAAAAGAAAAAGTGCGCAGAATTTAAGAATTCGTGATCAAAACACTAATATGACTATGAAGAACGAAGTGTTAGAGCTTGAGACGAAAATAATCAATCATGAAGCTTACGGAACCTCGTAAGTCAATAAGTTAATTTTCATAAAGTTCTACAGCCAAATTTCAGCTCGTTTTTATCTAAATTTTATCATTTTTAGGTACAGATGGCTTCCAAAAGATTTTGAACTAGGCTCGGCTCTTGGTCAAGGCAAATTCGGTCACGTACACGTAGCTAGAGAGAAGAAAACTGGATTCTTGGTGGCTATCAAAACACTCTTCAAATCGCAAATTGTTAAATCAAGATGTGAGCGACAAGTGATGCGAGAAATAGAAATCCAGTCTCACCTAAAGTAAGTAATCACTTAGTTTCATAGTGTCATTCATTAAAAGTTTCTTAATACTGCTCAATGTTGTGTTGTTGATCAACACCAATAGAGATCTAAAATATCTTTCAGGCATCCAAATATCCTTCGGCTACTTACCTGGTTCCATGATGAGAGGCGCATATACCTGGTGATTGAGTTTGCAGCAGGCGGAGAGTTGTATAAACACCTCACCAACTCACCCAAGGGGCGCTTCCCTGAGGCTAAGGCTGCTAGGTACATTTATCAGGTAACTACCAGCTTTATCTATTTTTCCTTGTAAGTTTTTTACATCATACCATGTAAATTGAGATTGAGATATTCAGACACCTTTTTAATGCAAAAAATAAGTAGAAATTTAGATTACTTTGTCCTATTAGTTATTTATTTAGCTATAAATTTCAGTGTCCTTATTTTATATTGTTACTGCATTTTTCTGCATTCTGTACTCATTGCAACTGTGGAAACTGCTGATTTCTGTCTTATTTTTTGTACGATTATTTATCTGTGTATCAAAATTGTTTGTTTCCTTAATATAACTCAATTTTATAAAACATTCACACTTCATGATGAAAACTTAATAACTATTAAAAAATAAATATTTCAGGTAGCAGATGCCGTAGAATACTGCCACCAAAACCACGTCATCCACCGTGACATTAAACCTGAGAACATTCTGGTTGCATTCAGTGGAGACCTCAAATTAGCAGACTTTGGATGGTCTGTACATGCACCTTCAGAAAGGTAACTTAAAATTTACTTACATGTCTTTTTCTGCTTTATTTGTACTGTGGTATTTTATTAAAAATAATTCCCTGACTTGAATACCAGCATCATAGCTTTATTGCCATGATATTACAACTCAGCAGCTTAGTAACATTTTTTTTCTCTTTCTACAAATATACTTTCTTTTTGTTTCTTATAAGCAAAAATTTAACTTGAAATTAAATTCTGACACCTATTTATGCTTGAAAATCTGCTAGACTATCAAATCACTAATAATTTTTCTATATCTATCTTCAGACGAAAGACAATGTGTGGAACTCTCGATTACCTTCCACCAGAGATGATCAAGAGGGAAGTATACGATGTGTCGGTGGACCACTGGTGCATCGGAGTGCTGTTATACGAGTTCCTGGTGGGAAAACCTCCGTTTGAGAGCGAGGGCCAAGACAAGACGTACCAAAGGATCCTCACCTTGGATATGTCTTACCCTGATCATGTTCCTGAGGGAGCTAAAGACCTTATTTCAAAGGTATGTTCATAATCATTTCATAACTTTAGTTGTACAGTCGACAGCACGTCAACGTAAACACTGTGGTATCTTACGTAGTTGCGATAGGGGCGACTTTGCAACGAAAATCTATAGTCTGATGTGCTGTCATACAATGTAAATATTTGTTGCGAAAAAGTTTATATTATGTAAACTTGTAAAGTTCTTACATGATTTTCCACTAATAAAATCAATACTTAGGCCTTGAATATTCCAAGACTTGCCATAGAAATTCTAGCACAATTTATTTGTGGAAATATAAGAATATTCTGTATTATTTTTGTCTTGTGATTTTTATAATAGAGAGAATAAATCAAAAAGCACTAAAAATATTCAGCTGTTTTCATAGTGTAACTTATCATTTAAATTTGAATATTGTTTGTATATTAAATTGATTATTTTTTATGTTTACAGCTCCTCCGGCATTCAAGCAAAGAGAGGCTGTCACTGGATGCTGTCAAAAAGCACTTCTGGGTACAGAGCTTCTACAGCCCAGAACAATAACACCATGTGCCATGTTAGTATTAATTATGTATTTATAATAATATTTTTTTAATCACAGTAATAAATGTATTTGACTGTTTAAAATCTTTTGTTACTTTATAACAATAACAGTTCTTACAAGCCAATTGATGCGCAATACATGACGCTCAAATATTAATAATTAAAAGAAAAGGGATGTTCAAATACCTCATGTTGGTAAACCGCAATTACTAGCTGGTTTCCCTATAAACAAAAGAGAGACTTTTTAACATTCACATATTTTGAGCATAATGTTTTACGCACATTTTGTTACAACAATATTAAAAAATAGATATTTGAGCTTTCAGTGCAATCTGACTAAATACATAACAGTATAACAACAATATAAATGCTAATAATTATCACAGGCTGTAGCCGTAGTTATGGATCCACTTCAGTCCAGCTTTGCTGCCATTTGCCGGCTTGTACTCTAGACCGATCCAGTCATTGTAGCCGTTGCTTTTCAAGTGTTCCAAAACATATTCATAGTTTATCTCTCCTGGAGTGTCCGGCTCGTTGCGATTAGGCACTTGAGCTATCTGCAAAAACAACAAAATCAAGTGTTGAAATACACTAATGTTGTCATAATTTCTCTGCATGTATATCATACTCATCTAGCTAGATGTATAATGCTGTATTTATTATTATTATTGGTTTTTGGGCCTTCATTTGCGCCAGCTCGTTTGATCTATTGAGGCAGCCCTTGTGTTTAGAGTTCACTGCTTAGTCCATTGCTTAGTATAATGCTGTAAGAAATTACTCTAAAACATAACTACTTACTTGAACATGACCCACATAGGGCATAAAATTCTTGATGTTATGAGATAAATCTCCACAAATGTGTTGCAAGTGGAATATGTCCATCATCAGTTTCAAGTTGGGGCTGCCTATGCGTTTTATGATTTCAATAGCTGGAAAAACATTGATTAAACAAACATGTTAGTTAGAAAAAATTGTCTTCAAAGTATTGTAGTTAATTTTTATTTAAGATCAGATATACTTGGTAAATACCACAGATACCATTTGAAATAAATTAATCTTACCTTTTCCATAATCACTCAAGAAATATTTAGGCACAGAATGTTGGTTGATCGGTTCGATGACTCCTAAAATATTGGCATCTTTCAGCAAACCAGCGGCATACTTCAAGTTGTTCTCATATGTCTCCCAGTTCTGTGGTGTCACATTGTCTAGTTTTCCAGCCATGATATGGATTTTTCTGGCATTTACGGCCTTGGCATAGTCAATGGTGATTTTCAGCTTTTCCTGGAATTCATTTTCTTTTCCTGGTACTGCTGTTACTCCTAGTTCCCCTTTACTTACATCTCCTGGAATGAGAAATATTGATATTTAAATAAATATCTTGCGCCTTCTCTTTATCTGAAGTTCTTTAAAATAATAATTGAACTCACTTATCTTATGAAGTAAACTTGCAAACATTAACTTCATACACTTTCTAAAGAGGTCCCTACTCAGATTTGAAAAATAAATCTTTTCTGGACTGCGTACTTACTTACTAATTTAACTTTATTTGCATTTTCACCTACCTGTGTTCAGATTGATCAGGACCTGTTCAATGCCGGCCGCCTCCTTGGCTTGCTTCACCTGCTCCAGAGTGAACCCAAATGGAAACCCGCTTTCCACAGCTTTGAACCCGGCATCTTTCGCCAGCGCGTATCTTTCAATCATCGACGTTGCCTCCGTGAACATAAAGGCCAAATTCGCACAAAACTTCATTTTCACTGAGATAAAATAACACAAGTTTTCTAACTAAGAGTTTTCCCGACAATGACCAACGTTAGAGGTTAACTATTATTTATAGTGCCAGTTATGATTGGATGCGGTGAATATTCTTATCAAGGCAATGTTATCATCACAAAGTAAAATAAACACAAGAAACCGCAGCGGTTTGCTAGTGTCAGAGCTGATAATAATAAATGTTCTCTCGTTTACTTGATCGCTATTTCATAACTGACAAAACAAATGGCGGTAAAATTTAAATTAAACCCATCAGCCGCGCAGGTAGTCTATAGTTTTTTTTTAATTTCAAACCAGCTACGTTGTTTTATTTTGTTTCTTGTATTTGTATAAAAAAAGTTCTTACGTTGTCATGAAAATATTCAACATATTTTGAAGATTGCTTTATTTTGCCCTGTATGGAAAAACCGGGCGATGTGGAAATCATTGGGGAAGGCCTATGTTCAGCAGTGAGTGGACGTCTTGTGGCTGAAATTATGATGATGGAAAAATCTAACACTTTTATACCAAAACTATTAACTACTGTGCCCCTTTTTTTTAATGATTATTAGTTGCTATGCCAGCGGAACACTTTATTAGATGTTTGTGTTTTCCCGTTCACAATTTCCCTTGCCGCATTCATACATTTATTATAGGCGCAAGAAACTTACTTCTGATTACTTATACTTTTACTAATTAAATAAATTCATCTTAGATTGAGCGTGTCAAAACAATCGGCTCTTCCGCGTCTCAGTACATTTCTATTTCTCTTCCGCACGATTAATAATTTTCTCCAATTTCTCAACCTAATGATTTATTAAAATTCGAAAGTGTTGAATCGAAAATGAAATACTTGCATATTTTATTGGAATTTGACTAAGTTATATTTCCTCTATTCATGAAATCACTTCGTATCTTCGTTTCAAATTATTTTTACGAAATGACCACAAAAACTGATAATGGCTTTTGTTTATTATACGTGTAAGTTACTAATTTTTATACAATGATAACTTATATGTTAAAAAAAATCATGGACTTCATGCAATAAAACTCAAAATCATAAAAAAGTCGTTTATATTTTTATATGTTGAATAAAATATCGTTGTATATGTATATGATAATTTACAATAAAAAACTTATTCATAACAATGTGATTAGTCATACAAAACAAGGTGAACAAAATAAACAAATCTCAACCATAACTAAAAGTAACGGAAATGAAAAGGATCACCGAGGGAGATATAAAAACTCATACAACAATACCATTAAATTATATCTTTCAAACAAAATATACAGATTTTTAATGGTTAGAACATAAAAATAGGTATCCACTGAGTATACGCCTCATCCATATTTTATTAAAACATATTGTAATCATAATTTATGTATAAAACATGTAATTGAAATAACGTAAAAGCCCAGACAGACACCACTCATATTTTTATGGTATAAATTGTTTTAAATTGTGTATTTTCTTTTATTCGAAACTCTACACAGTCTACACAACCATTTCATTAGGCTTCACTGAGGTATGCATGGCACTGCGCGTCTAAGTTTTAGACAGCGCGCGATACAAAAATATTAAAATCTGTATTCTTACAAAGTCTTACTTTAACTCAATTACACGTTCTATACCACGATTTGAAAAGATATAACTAACTCCATATTAGAGGGTACATTGTGTCAACACATACAGTTAATATGAAATGGCCACTACATCGGGCTAGCATAAATACCCTTATTATTTATGCTACCAAACATTACAGGGAATGATCATAGTTAAATAAATAAGTAGTCACATACATTACTATAGATGATGTCTCAATTAATCATAGTAATATTACCTTACCTAAGACTTAACATACTCTTGCAATACATGGTTTATAAATGCTGACAAAATGCTCGTATGCTGGCGGTACGCAGTCTTATTAACAAGAGGTATTCTCGGTTTATTATAATTTTATATAAATACGTTTTTTGACATTAACACAGCCATATTTTATAATATTGTAAAGTTACACACTAATTTAGCGATACTTTGTAAATGTAATATAAAATACGTACTTAACTTATAATTTGTGGACAGCACTTAAAAACTAAAAAGACGTGATCAAATTGAGCAGACAGTGCCGGTACCCTGTAACTCTCACGCTCGAGCTCTGTCATGGCAACCGAGTTTAATATCCGGCTCGAAGGACCAAAAACTTACACAATAATACATACATGCTACTTATATTTAATAAGGCGTGTTTCGGAAGTACTGTTTATATTTCTTTGGTTAAGACGAAAATGCTTATAACTTATTTGTGAGTAAATAATCGAAGTTGGAACGTCTTTAAGTTAGCTTGGACTAAACGGGTGTTTCAGGTTTTTCTCCAGTACAAAAGAAAGCCCATGTTTCCTATAAGCATAGCTGGGCACCGTTAATCAATTAGTTAACTTCGTTAATCGTTAAACCGTTAATAAAAAAATTAACTTCGTTAAACGTTAAAACGTTACATTTAGCAAGACTTAACGCAAGTTAACGTTAATCGTTAATCCGTTAACATATGATAATAAAACGCAAAAAATAATTGTATCGCGCACGGAATTTATTCCTCTTTTATGTTTGCGCTACAAGCTTTCGAAATTATTTGAACCTTGCATACAATTATTTTTATCGTTTTAGTAACAACTGCATTTCAGAATAAAATCTTGTTTTTAAAAAAGTATTTTGATGTTATAATTTTATTTTACACTTTTTAGTAGTAGACTAAGAGCTAGTGAACGCCATACCTAGGCTACGTCATACCACAAAATCTGATTTTTATGTTTAATATTTGGGCAATGATTAGAACTTGTTTCGACATCAGCCAAACAGTTTTGACAGTTCCAACTCCTTGCCAGACAGTTTTTTTAGGATAGCTGCCAAAGCAACGATGACCCAAACTTTATAATCCACCAACATTCTAACCTCACCTTTTATAAAATGACGTAGGTCTGGCGTTCACCAGCTCTTAGTCTATAGTATCTCAATCTCAGAGCCTTGTTTCAATTACAATACAATTTAGCACCAAAATGCTCGAAAAGACAAATTCAACAAACTCAAACTCGAGAAGTTTCCACCGTTTCGTTTAAGAATTCCTATGGCCACCTCCTGACTCCATCATTAGGACCCTGGACATCATCTAGTACTAAAGTGCTCGAAAAGACAAATCCCACGAACCCAAATTCGATGCGATGCCGCCGTTTCATTTAGGAGTTCCTATGGCCACCTCCTGACTCCATCATCAGACCAGCTTAATGGCACCATAACATTGCATTTTCATCGTACTTACATAAGTATACCTAGCTCAATCGGTTGAGAACTGGTCTTATATTCAGTTGCAAGATTTGTCCCACACATACTAACAAGTGAAGTCAATATAAAGCTTGTAAATAAATAAAAAAATATCATTTTTTATATCGTTTCGTTCTGGTTACAAAAACTGTTGTTTTGGGTTCTGGAAGTTCTGGAAGCCCGAACGTACTTGTCAGAACGCGCGTTCTAGTGTTTTTCAGCGTGCCTGCTGTATCTTTTTGGTAAATAGTAGGTACTGGATTAACGATTAACGGACTTAAGATAATTTAACGGAAGTTAACGAGTCCGTTAACATTTTTTAAAGTTAACTTAAAAGTTAATCCGTTAATAGAAATGTTAACTTCGTTAATTAACGATTAACGGATTAACGAGTTAATGCCCAGCTATGCCTATAAGCTGGTACTTAACGTGCTCAATCCAAGCGGATAGCTAAATATACACTCGCGAGCAAAAGTATGGAATCACTTACATGAAGTTGTTTCCACGCGATCTTGTGTACTAACGAATTTGTTAGGAACAAAAAAAGTGGCACCATTTTAAAGATTAAACTTTTATCTTTAAATTGATACCAAATTCANGGTAAATAGGCCGCAACTCGCGACGTATCAAACAGTTCATACATGTCTTTTTCGTTACTTCTTTACATCAGCCGGGATATCTTTTTAAATACTGGTGTGATTTAAATGAATTTGGTATTAATTTAAAGATAAAAGTTTAATCTTTAAAATGGTGCCACTTTTTTTGTTACTAACAAATTCGTTAGTACACAAGTTCGCGTGGAAACAACTTCATGTAAGTGATTCCATAGTTTTGCTCGCGAGTGTAGTAATTAAAGTTAACATTAAAACTATTCAAATACAATGAGCATTACGTTATGACTTATGAGCATATCGATTACGCTAACATAAATGGAAGTCGCTCGAAACGTGTACAATTTAAGTAAGCACGTCTGTCTTGAAAGCTAGCGATTTCTTCACTTAATCGTATGGTTATGACCTGTAGAGGTAGGAATAGAGTGGGTAACTACCACTCGACGAGTCGCAATGACACCGGTGACTTGGGGGATAACAGAAAGTCAAACTGGACGTCCAAATCCCCGTCAAATTCCACTCTCCACCGCTGCATTATCTGTGGATAAAATAATAAAAAAAATTAGACCATAATGTGGTAAAAAAATTGCAACGAATCTTTTGAGAAAGAAGGACAATGCATTTTTAAAAAAACACAGACTAATTGAGAACCTCATTTGTTAGAGTCAGAGAAAATGCATAAAATAGTAAATTAATGAACCATAACTTGAACTCTAAATATTATATACCTTTGCGAGCAGTAAATGTAGCTCCAACTCGACAAATCGCTTGCCCGGGCACATCCGCCGCCCTCGTCCGAAGGGCGCGACCAGCGATGCCGCGTGGGGCTCCTTGCCAACCAGCCATCTCTCTGGAATGTACTCCTGCGCACGCCAAAAGTTCTCTTCACGACGGCAAGCGGCACCAGTGTGAGCCAGCACAAACGTCTGTAACCAAATAAAAAATATTTTATATCTATAAAAGAAGCTCTTGTCCTGCATCTCACTTGATGGAAACTGATAATTAGGCTGAAGGTGGAAGCGAGCTTCACGCGGAATCCTCAACCACAGAGGAACTGGCTATACCTCTAACTGCCGAAACACAACAATGTTGTTAGGAAGACAGACTTAGGAAGATGGTGGTAGCTTGCCAGCCAGACTTACAATAAGCCCTACCACCACAAAATTCTGTCCCCACTGGGAATCGAATCCGGGACCTCTACATCTGAATCAGTTGGTCTTACCACTAGACCAAGAAGCGGTTAAAATGCCATAAATCAATTTGAAAAGCCAACTAATAAATCACTAACGATTCTACCGAGTGCCTAACGAACGTGCAATGCACTTTCATTAGCTTGCGTCAGTGCAATGACTTTTCCAACATCACTATCATGAACGAACCATCCAGCAGAAATCAGAGCAAAGAAATGCGAGAGTGTATTGCATCGTTATAAAAACTGCAATACGATCATTATTATTTTCACTTCCTCCATTTGCCTTCGGTAAATTAGAAGACGGCCGTACTCCTACAGTGGAGACTAAATAATTGACCTGATATTAAAGGAATTGAACAAGGTAAAAATATAACAAGGTTAAATAAAACCTTTGACGCCAGGGGCCTGATGGGTCATGTGCCACTCTGGGGTAAATGGGGTCACAGTGAAAAAGATCACCTGAATTGAAGACACCTACCCCAGCAGGTAGCTTATGTCCAGCCACAGTCATGGGTGCTTCCAGAAGTCTAGCCAAGAAGGGCGCGGTGGGTAGCAGCCTGAAGGCTTCGTTGATGGCCGCCCTTATGGATGGTGCTGCAGCCATCTCCTCAGCCCTGAGCTCGCCGCTGCAAGGCACTTCTGAACGTATCGTCTCTTGCCAGTCAGGTCGGCCGCTTAGCAGGTATAACAGGAACACTAGGCTGTTTGCTAACTGCAACAGAACAGATCTTTTATAAATAAACCAACAATTATATTGATTGATTTGAGTTTTTAAATACGACCGATGATTAATACGATTCAAGGCTTTCCTCCGATTCCAACGGCAATCAGTTATCAAATAGTTCACTTGTTTTACTGCTTTAGCTCGCAACATAAAGTAAACAACAGTATTTATAACTGTAAATAACGACTAACATACGTACTTACCGTCTCAATGCCGGCTGTGATGAAGTCGATGACGGCCGCTTTCTTGTCCCGCATGTCCAGAGCAGGGTTCTCCAGGATCTTCAGGAAGATCTCTTGCATGCCGTCATCCTGCGCGGCGCCCTTGCACCGCGACTTGGCCTCCTCCATTAGATCCGATACTATCCTGCCGAGATTTCATATTTTGGTGAAGTGGAACTTGCCTTATTAACTTGCTGTCATCCTGTTTACCATAACGTCATCATCATTCATCAACCTCGGGTTCTTTAGTCTCAATTGCAGGAGGACCTTGTCTAACAAAGTAAGAAGAAGAATTTGGCCTACACTACACACGCTGGCCAGACAAGTTGGGGAGGCCCGATGTTCGCATGTTTCTCCCTTAGTCGCTTCTTATGCGATCCATGGGGATGGTCCTATTCTACTCTGCTAGAACCACACGGCTAAACAATATTTATAGCATCACGAAATATAAGCTTTTTTAAATTCCCCAATGATAAGTCCAATGACTCACGTATGGATGGTCTCCTCGCTCCTCGCAAAGGTTCTGTACAAGGTCGTGGGGGCAAACTTCCAGAGTGGCGCGCCGTAATACGAGTCCCTCTGGGCTCGGAAGTGCGCCTTGACCGCCGCAGCCAGAGTCGCGGCGCGCCCCGACATGCAACGCTCGAGAAACCCGAGACGGGCTCCCAGCATCAGACCACACACGGCTGGAGACAAAAAACAACAATGGGTAGTGGACGCCGATATCCAAAATTCCAAGAGAACTTCTTAAACACTGCATTCTAGCCCAGAAAGCTCTAATAGTGATTAAGTTCGAAAACTGGTGATGTCATTATCCTCTTCGTCATGATACAAACTCTATATAGGCTCTCCATATTATTTTATCGTAGAATTTATGTTCAATGAGGAAAACTGTTTTAATCTATTATGTAACGATCACTGTATGCTATACTATATTTACCTACTCGTACCTTCCACCAATTCCATTTATGTAAAGGATGTCAAACAACCTTCAGTTCAGCCTACACTAAAATCTTGATAATTATGATTAGATTTGATCAGCTACCTTATCGAGATGTTAATGTAGGCTGCCAGGCCCGCATTTCAATTAGGCTAAAGTAAAACCTAGTCTACCTAGTTTTATAAATAAGCGCCTATCTAATCTGACGCAATATTTCGAAACGCTGGAATTTTGAAATGTCAAAGAAAAATATTGCCTATCACTATACCTGTTCGCCGGCCTCATAAAAATGCCTATCATTAAAAAACTGGTTCTAATTCCCGACTAATGCACCGGCTCGTAAACACATTCCCAGTCGATGTACAAATATTAGTTAATCTTTAATATTATGTCCACGCCTAAAAGCTCACGTTTCTCTCCGAAACCTAATTACAAAACATCCGCTTGCACTGATAAGTTGTCCGAGTCCCAGCGACTTCGTAGTAATGCAATACATTTCTAATGATGCACTGTTTGCAGTACGATGGCCGCCAGAGCTATTTCTAAGATATCTGACCCACATTCCCCTTATCTCTAGACGTCATTTTCTCGTCATGATGGTCCATCACACACATAGCATCACTTGTTTACGCCCTTCCATATTATCGTAGTGAAACTTCATATCGCAAACAAAGAGTGAATCATCTAACCCAGACTGTATCCAGGCAAGTAAATAACTTAAACGCTTCCTGTAAAATAAATTTAGCGGTGAAGATTACAAAATATTGAATCGTAATAAAAAATAATGTCTAATGTCCGTGTTGCACCCACTCCTCTGAAGGTTGGAGACTCTACACTCGAAGTTCTTGACAATTATGTATACCTGGGACAAACAGTCCAGTTAGGTAGGTCCAACTTCGAGAAAGAGGTCAATCGTCGAATCCAACTCGGATGGGCAGCGTTCGGGAAGCTTCGCCATATACTCATGTCCGAAATACCGCAGTGTCTCAAGACAAAAGTATTCGAGCAGTGTGTGTTGCCAGTGTTGATATATGGATCCGAAACGTGGTCGCTTACTATGGGCCTCATAAGAAGGCTCAAGGTCACCCAAAGGGCGATGGAGCGGGCTATGCTCGGAGTTTCCCTGCGTGATCGAATCAGAAATGAGGAGATCCGTAGGAGAACCAAAGTAACCGACATAGCTCGCAGAATTGCTAAAATCAAGTGGCAGTGGGCGGGGCACATAGCTCGTAGAGACGATGGCCGTTGGGGCAGGAAAGTTCTCGAGTGGCGACCACGGGCTGGAAGACGTAGCGTGGGCAGGCCTCCTACTAGGTGGACCGACGATCTGGTAAAGGTCGCGGGAAGAGCCTGGATGCGGGCAGCGCAGGACCGTTCATTGTGGAAAACCTTGGGGGAGGCCTTTGTCCAGCAGTGGACGTCATTTGGCTGAAACAACAATAAAAAATAACATTGAATAACACTACGCAATACCTATTATCTTCTGATACTCCAAATAATTGCTGCGCCTCATTGAACCGATTTTATAAATATAAAAAGTTGTTATTGTAACAAATGAACTCGTTAATCTTTAATAACGCAGTAATAAATTAAATAAGTAACTGCTTTGAGATATTCTCAGAGGATGATGTATTTTCTGAGAAGCATTGAGTAAAGTAGGAAGCTTTGTCTAGCCGATATGAATAATCATCATTATAATTCAGAAGTTACCTTATCTTTATGCCACAAGAGTTATTGAAAATCTGTTATCGGTACCGCAATAAAAAACGATTTATAAAGGATAATAATGCAGACAGTCTGTAGACAGACAACTGATATTTTGTTCTTGGCTTTATCTGTTTGAAATAACTAATTGCTTACGAGAAGAACGCAGCTTAACAGATAAACGGATACTGTATAACGGTTAATTAAACATTTAACGGTCTTCACCTTCTTAAGTAATTAAATTGATAAGTTATTATTGGTGATACTAAAACTTTATTATATTGGTAGGAAAGTCCATTCTACAGTCATTATTATAATTATGGTCTAAAGATATCACGCCAATAAAAATAAAAGACGAGCTTATGAACATGCGCGGAACAGTTAGAATTTGCAATGTTTATGAAAAGCTAGTTAGAAGAACATGACTTACATTCCAACCCCATCCTATTGGTGAGCTGATCGAAGCCGAAGACTGTACCATCTCCAGCTCGGCAGGAGTGCAACAGATCAAGGAAGTCATCACAGATGCTGTTCAGCTCTGGCAAAAAGTTCTGCATGGTGTGGGGACTGGTCAACTCCGCTGTTAGATGCCTACGGAGGTGGTACCATTTCTCGCCCTGCCTGGAAAAAGTGAAAACTAAATAAATGAATAAAATAACACTCATTAGATACACATTTTACTATTAGATTCGTTCGTTCGTTTCAGCCAAATCACGACCACTGCTGGACAAAGGCCTCCCCCAAGGTTTTCCACAATGAACGTCCTACTGGGTGAACCGATGATCTGGTAAAGGTCGCGGGAAGAGCCTGGATGCGGGCAGCGCATGACCGTTCATTGTGGAAAACTTATTACTTACATTATTATGAGTTAATAAATAGACTTTGGGCTCGTTATAAGCAAAAAAAAATCCTACATTACCTAGCGTAAACATTTTCGCGCAAGAATGCTTTAGAATTTTCCGAAGGAAGGGACATATAAAATTATTTAAAAGCTAAACTAAAGTTACATGGTTAGATGGTACTACCTAGATAGAGGCTTTAATATTTCATAAAAAATGTCTATATCTATTAATAAAGACGTTGGTATAGTCATACAGGAAAAGAACTTTGCATAGATATAAAAACTTGACCAATGCTGCGCAGTTGTCTAGCCTACGTGACTGGCACCTAAATCCTTGCTAAAATACAAGTAGGTATGTATCATAACATTGCCTATAGTAAGGAACCATTTCTCTTTACAAAATAAGGATTATTCTTGACTTAACACCACCATTATTTTCATAGAAGAAGAAAGATTATTCGCTATTTGCACTCGTCTTATTAGATCGTTTGAAATGTGGATTTTAATATCCTTGGGTATCAGACTCATTAGCTTCCCTCAAAGCAATATTCTAACTATTGCCTATTGTAGGTATATCACCATTTATGTACTTACGTTCGAACTCAAAATCTCTGGTTCGAAGGAGAGAATTTATCTAACCAATTAACAAATGAACTAAATGGGCGTAACTTTACTTTCAAAATGTATCCGTTTTCCTCATTTCACTGCCTATTCTTCACATATTTTGCGTCGTAACTATAATGTAGGTACTCGTATATTATTTTATTCTTAATCTAAATATAGGTTTGTTTTTTATGCTTTCTCGTGACCGAGGTTAAAGCACCCACTGCGAATGAATAGGCGTCTAAGTAAGAAACAACTAACAATAAAACTGACTTATCGAAATCACGCTCAACTACCATGCTAAAATAAGCATCTATTTTATTTGCCGAATAAATTGTATCTGCTTAATAATCTATTATGTTTTTTTGCATGCGCAGTCTCTCAACCTGTCTGTCTATGCCATGTCAACAAAATAAATACTTTTTTTGCGGTTGCTTGCTGGACGTTATCGGAAATCAATAAATAACTTATAGTCTTTTTCACCTAAGATGATCCGTATGACGTTTCGAGTTTGAAAGATTTAGAGATGTCACATAACTAAACCATAGCGATTTATCTATCGATTTTTTTCGAAGAGTTAGTAAAACCTACTTTTAGAGAAATATTTTGTATAGGTTTTATTTAACAAAAAAAACATGTTTATTTTTTAATTACAAATATTATTGTAACAATTTTTTATTGATAATATTCAAATTTCATGGTTCGTGTTAAAAAAAATGATTCCTAAAAAGTACTGGTTCTGTTTCTTTAAATTAAAATCTATTAATTTATTTTCAATGCGTTTATTAAAGTCAATAAACGAAAAATATAGTTGATTTTTGTGATGTTTTTAATAACTAAGTATTCACTGCAATCGATTAATGAACCGCGGAAATAATCGATTTTATTATTCAAGAAATACCCCAGCACTAAATCTATTCCGTTTCACACATTGCGTACATTAAATAAAAATTATTTTTACATAGTATTTAATTAAAATATAATCAATAGACTCAGATTTTACTATATATTTCAAGACAAGTAGTTATTTTTTTTTTTATTATATTGCTAATAAAATACAAATATTTTTTCAAAAATATTCTGCATATGTAGTATGCGTAATATGGATAACCTTGAAGTGTCATACGGATCATCTTACGTGAAAAAGACTATAGATGCTAAGCGGTTTTTTAAGACTTTAAAAGATTTGTTAGTTTTTGATGTGAAGTGGATTCTCCTTGATTGTCCATCTTCTTGCGACCCAAAACCAGATTGTCTTCTTTAAATCGGTAACTAAGAAAGTGTATGCTGCCTAAGCGTTTTTATCTTATACCTAGAAAAACGCACATAGAGCTTCCTTGTTTATTATTACGGCCTTTAATTTCATGTAAGATTCCCCGCAGACGCTACAGGTGATAGTTTGGTCAGCTTCTAATTGGTATGAGGAACCCCAAATCGGTGTGAGTATTTATAGCAGCCCTATTTTTTATGCAAAACAAGGCAGTTATTTGACCACAATCGCACCTGATGTTAAGTATTTATCGGCCGACAAAAAGTCTGATAGAACGGAGACTGACAGAACAGTTTTCTGATAAATTCCTGGTCACAAGAGGTACTTACCTATCTACGAAGGCTGTAAACATTGCAGTATCTGCATTTACCCCAGATTAATAAGCACTAAAATCCTCAGGTTATCGTGAGTGCAAATAGCATGTCCGGAACGAAAATAACACTATCATTAATAGCACGAAGACAAAACAAACATTTTAATATCAATTAGGTATCATAAATTACCTGTGCAAATCGAATGTCTCTACTCAATTAAATAATGCCAATGCCAAACTGTCAGAGATCGCGGGTTCGATCCCCAGACAACACTATCCTTACCTTAAAGGCCGGCAACGCACCTGTAACAATCCTATCTAAAACATTTTCATGTAAAACGTTGCCAAGACCAGACCATAATGGCTCGCATTGTAACTTTTATCAGATCTCATGTAGAGCTAAAAGCTTCTTACTCTACTCGCCCTAGCTAAACAAACTCTATATTTTAGTTAGAATATGTGCCGCGGACGTTTTCACCGCCCATAGTTTGATATTGCTTACTCTATCCGTTTTTGTAACGTACACATAAGCTTAGTTCGGGGCTAGATGACACTGTGTAAGTAGCCCACTTACTAATACCCTACCTTATTTATTATGGAGAGGTTTACCATGGGGATTCTACATAAGATCAGCATAGGTAGATACTCACTCGTTAACAAGCCCAGTGGAAGCATATCTATCAGGCCGGCTCCTCCGGTACACTTGCACAATCTCCGTGGGGGGCCGATAGGGCCTCTGGGCCGGGGTCCAGGTCCTGGGCCGCCCGTTCCGCTATGGACACCACCATGGCGCCCCCCAGAGATTTGAAATATTTTACCTGTATTCATTGACTGGTGCCCATGTGCTTACTTCGGGGCTAGATGACGCTGCATGACCAAGGATATTTATTTACTAAATTTCTGCCTAAAATACCACCATGATAAGGATAGGTTTATCAGAGGAATACAACATAATTAATATCTACTTACTCGTTAACAAGCCCAGTGGACGCGTATCTATCAGGCCGGCTCCTCCGGTACACCTGCACGATCTCCGTGGGGGGTCGATAGGGCCTCTTGGCCGGGGTCCGTAGCACCGCGTCCAGGGCCGCGCGCTCCGCTATGGACACCACCATGTCGCCCCCCAGAGATTTGAAATATGTTACCTGTATTCATTGTCTGGTACCCATATGCTTACTTCGGGGCTAGATGGCGCTGCATGACCAAGGATATTTATTTACTAAATGCCTGCCTAAGATACCGTGAATACCATGATAAGGACAGATTTACCAGAGAAATACTACATTATAAATATCTACTTACTCGTTAACAAGCCCAGTGGACGCGTATCTATCAGGCCGGCTCCTCCGGTACACCTGGACGATCTCTGTGGGGGGTCGATAGGGCCTCTTGGCCGGGGTCCGCAGCACCGCGTCCAGGGCCGCGCGCTCCGCTATGGACACCACCATGGCGCCCCCTGGCGTCGTCTCCGCGAACACCGGCCCGTAACGCCTGAACATGTCTGCGTGCAAATCTCTCATTGTGACAGCGGGTGCAATCGTACAATTCGCTTCAGCAGCATTATCAATACCGAAATAAAAATAATAATTTTCTATTAGCTTTGCCCGCGGATTCGCCCGCGTTTTCGGCCGGAAAGACTTTTAACCCTTCAATTCCCCGCGAATCGAGACACAAAAGAAATTAAATTGTTACGCGGTCTTATGCGACCCCTTGGGGTTTGATGGGAACGCGAGTGTCCTCCTTTCAAATAAAACTGGGATAAAAACTATCCTGTTACTCCCTGTGTTTGATATGTCCATATTAAATAGTACAAACGGTAACATATTGACCGACAGACTGAATTACTTTCGCATTCATAACATTGGTATAGAAACCACTAACTGCAATGTCAAGGGCAGGATTGGCCTTGTTAGATGAACGTGCTTACTTTATGCATTTAAGAAAAAATATTTTAAGCAGAAATAGTTGGAAAAGCGAGAAAAATGCTGCAGAAGTGAAGGAAGGTAAACATAAAAATAATAGCAGTGGTACAGTACCGATTCGTTGTATAATAATGCTATAAATATAAAAATCTCGTAATAACAACTAAAAAAACGTTAAACAAAAACAGCAGCTGATTGAATTAAATCCATAACTGGTTCCGCTAATGGGATACATTTGTAAATCATTTTATATTAATTAAACTAACAGGTGGTAATACGGAAAAGCTGTCAAACACTTTAAATATAGCAGGGTTACAAAGGCTTATGTTGTACCGTAAAGTAGTAAGAAGGTACTAAATTAGAAAACTATAATTAAGTAGGGGTTTTCCATTATCTACGAGTATAAATAACATCTCAACTTCTTTTCTTTTATTTTATAAAAACAACGAATTGGGAGAAGGACGACGAAAAAAACAAACATAGTTGCCCTTGCATGGTTACATAATATGATAGTACCTATGGATCTCCTTCTCAAGGTGCCTTTCCCCATTTTATTAGGGGTCGCCCTCCTTGTTCTAAGGCACCACAGATATGTTATATGAGCATGCACCAAAATGTTTAGATTAAGTAAAAAATTTTTCAGGATCTGATATCTCTATTGGAGCAAGTAGAACCAGATTTACCGCAAGCCTGTCAAAGTCTTCAAATGTAACGTATGCCTTGGAATATCAATTTAGCTCCACACAACCACCACTCAAACCGGTATAATCAAGATATCATGGAGTCTATTACATATCCTTAGCCGGCCACACTGTTTTACTAATGAGCTGTCATAAAAATTATGTAAGTGTTCCATCAAATGTGCTAATTATGTTACATTTTAATAATATTTCCGTTATTTTCCATGCCAATCGTAAAGCATTTAATAATGAAAATCCTTTGTAGTAGATTAGACGAGTATTTAAATTCTATTCGTAAGCCCATGATGAGTCTAACGTCCAAAGTTTATTAAACATTTAGGTATGTAAATTAACACATACCTATTATCATTTTATGTGACCGTTATTACAATTTACGAAGTAGAAAAAATCACCTTGTCACTATTTACATTTTAGCATAGCAAATAATCGTATACCACGGTGATAACAGTACCTCTAGTAGGAAAAACTTTCGAGTTCGTTTCGTTGCGTATTCAAAGTGTCATCGAAAAATTTTGTATGAAAAATTAAACAGCGCCCCCTATATTATAGTCGCCCTAGGGGGCGCTGTTTAATTTTTCATACAAAATTTTTCGATGACACTTTGAATACGCAACGAAACGAACTCGAAAGTTTTTCCTACTAGAGGTACAGAGCGTTAACTTCACGCATCTTTCAGCATTCGGGCATTAATCTCTTAATTCAATTCATTCATGTAAATCAATTTGAATATCTCACCTTCATAAGCTTCGTGGAGTTTATTCATCTTGTAACGGCTCCAGAACAGCCAACGCGTTCCAAGGAACGGTAGAGCTGGTGGACCAGGGAGCCTGGCGGCGTGCTTGGCGTCTGCTGCGCGAGCCACCAAGGCGGTGACAGCCACCAGAACAGCAGCCACTAGCAGCACCAGGGTAGGGACTCCCGACCAGTCGACCAGAGGAGGCGAAGACGAAGCGTGCATCTGTGGGCAAAATGAAAGCTGCTGTAGTCCTGTTGGAAGAAGAAAATTGTATGTAGCTAAAGCTGGAAACAAGCTGAGAAATGTTTTTCAATTCAAGAATATCATATAAATGGACCTATTCTCATAAAAGCTTCCGCTTGACGATGATTGATAACGACGACGATTGATATATCCTATCAGTTAACATGGTAAGTACCTAATTAGCAATCCGTTTTTCAACTTCCTGTTATGAAACTTGACCGAAATTGTAATTATTTATGGACTCATAGCATCCCGCTTTTTACTTACCAGTAGATACTAGTAGGTATCAAATAATAATAGTACCTACCTACCTACCGCATGCCTTATCAGTGTCTTACGAAATTTCATGTTCAAGAGCGTATGCCAGGTTCAGTGGACTTTCGCGTCTTATTTTTATTAGTCATCGATATCGAACGGCTAAATCTACATGTTCAGATTGTTCAGGTTTCGGATGAATTTGTTTGCTATCACGGTCGTTGACCCCGGCGGCGCCAGAGGCGGCGCGGGAGTTGATGATGTCGACGCAGCGCTCTTGACATTGGCTTTGCGTAACTGTCGCTTACGTAACCAACGTTACGACCACCACGCACGCGACGTAAACGAACGAAGACCGCATGCAACAGCTCTCCGCATACCTATCGACACTGATGCACATACCATCACTTTTTTTATTTCAACGGACCTGTCCCGAAATGGTAGTTAACGGGAATTCCAGTTTGCCGAACCCACTGCGAATACTTAACGAGTTCCTTGAAATGCGGACCCTAGTTTGCACAGTAACCGACCCCGGTTTAAAGTAACGGGCAGATATCAGATGGGAGATAAGTACACATCACCCTTTGAGTACCAGTTTGCACTTAGCGACAGCAAACAGGATTTGTATAACAGCAATTTATACCAGTTGATATCCCTTTTAATCTGAGGGCTCGTCTACTAACCTACTCTACTAGATAGCTACTTAGTAGAGTCAGATTTCATGGGTGTCATTGCTACGGTTACATGGTTCAGTGAACTTCAGAGCCGTCTAGTCAAATGGTTAGTTTGAAAGCTTACACATATTTACCATAAGAGCCAGTATTTGGCTATGTTGTGTATAATTCCAGTCAAAGCTTTGTTGTATTCATTTTCATCAAGAAGCACATCAAAGTTTGTAATAGAAGTTACTACTTCTAATTAATACATATTATTAATTTTCCAAACTTTATACAAATTAGAATTAGCAAATATTGTGGAACCAGCATATTAGTAATTCTTAGTATATCAATCAAAGTGTCATCGCAGCGGCCAACAAAGTGAACATGACCGAGTTAGGCTCGTCATTCATAAATCAAGCTAGACTACAACTAGGCTAGACCCAGTGCACTTCAGATAACCAGTTGTTGTTAAAACTGACCCAAATTATTGTGCTATCAGAACACGAAACAATAAATCAATAAGACTAACGCCCGTATTCACACGATGCTTCGAACGCACAGCATTGAATAGAGCTCTGTGGTTGGTTCGTGTGTGACCCTGTGCGTCCTGTGAGACCTCATAGTAATGGTTGTGAATACGGGCACAATACGGGCGTAGGTACTAGTGTTGTTTGTAACGTGAGCTTTTGTTGTGCTTTTAAGTTTAGTGAGGAGTAATGTGTTTAGTGGATTCTTTTACTGTAACTTTGAGCAGCTTTTCTTATCGTAAAAAGAAATAACTTCTGTAACTGGTTCCAGTTTCATTTTTACACGTTATTTACCTTAGAAGGAAGGGATAAGATTTTAGTTTTTTTTTATGTTAGCCTCTTTTAGACACCGTTTTCAGTAGATCATCGGACGATAGTTCCTTAGACTTATTGATTTAAAACAAAGCACTGCGGATATTAATGTTTACTATAGTAATATTTTGTATAGGGAATAATTAGATTCAGTTACAAAGAACTCTACATAGTTTAAAATAAAGTTATAATTTATTGTAAGTTGATGTAATCATTCGAGTAGGTATCTGACCGGAGATGGCGACAAATTGCCGATGTTTATACTTAAATGTATTGTTTTTTCACTTTATCGGCAATCAATTAGCAAGGAAAGTGAACACGTTTAACCCTGAGATAAAAGTATTGAAAGAAAAACACACTTTATCTTTCGACACTTATTATTCATAAGTACCTAACTTACGCAAATTATGGTACTTACATTATGATAAATCTATAAGTTGGTTTTTACAGTCCAATCCATACTTATATGCACTTGCGAGAAAAATATGGCAATTTACACGTTAAAGTTTCCTCGTAGTGCATGTAAGCGATTTGTTTTCTTTTTTGGTTCATTGCGCATTCTAGGCCAGTAGAATTAAACACAAAAATTGATTAAATCGGAAATAATTCCTACTAAAGATTTTTTTGCTTTAATGGCTTCATTGGTTGCCCATTAATTAAGACTCTTCTAAGTTTTCGACTTCGACGGAGTTGTGCTTAAGTGGTGGGGGCCCCCGAAAGGGGCGTTTTTTCGGTTTTCCGGTTATACCGCGTAAAGGACTTACCCTATCGAAAAGTGGTCTTCATGACGGTTAAAGGGCACTTAATCCTGCATTGTATAAGACCAAATTCATATGTTTTGGACAAACCGTTCTCGCGCTAAAGTTCGGCAAAGTAGAAAATATACGTATAATTAATGACCCTCTCCACGTCCAATGGCTTGTTACCCACATGCTTCCAAGCCTTGTAAAGGGTCGCCTTAACCAGTGTAACCCTATCAAAGCTTACGAGCTTGATTCGCTTATCCTTGTTCGTCCCAGCCGTTCCTTAACTGCGGTTGCTGCACCTCTTCCTGGCACTCTCCTGAACGACTCTGTGTTACCTAATGTGGCTGCCCCTCTTCCTTGTACCCTCCTGTACGATTTCATTGCTTAGCCATATGCCTGGTCCAAGGTTCGACGCCACAAAATCAACTTCGTACGAGTGAAAATAGTTTAAATACTATTTCCCGTGCTTGCAACATTTTTCTTTACTGCTTCGCCTCTATTAGTCGTAGAGTGATTGTATATATCCTATAGCCTTCCTCAATGTATGAGCTATTCAAAAATATTGTAGTCTTTGGCATAGACTACGATGGTAGTCATGGAGATAGGAGTTTGTTATCTCGTGTCAGATGTAAATGGTGAAAAGAAAACTCATGATTCGTGGTATTTTTATGTAATATGTAGGTATTTTATAAAAGTGGAACCCCGAGTGATCTCCAAAACCCATTCTATTATTATATACGATTCGGCTTCGATATCTATAATACAATAGGAGTTTATTTCATGTGTCAGATGACAAGGGTGGAAACAACCTACGATTCATGTTGTTTATTTACGTGCAATATGTGGGCATATTGTAAAAGTGGAATGCCGAGTTGTATTTCTAAAACTTGTTCTATTATTTTATACTATTTGGCTGCGACTCGGCGTGACGACAATACAAAACATTTTTCGCGAATCGGTGTTCATACATTCACACAATACATTAGACGCCATGTTGTCATAAACGACATATTATAAAATCGCTGTGATTTAATATTCTTAATCATTAATTTTATGGCAAGTGTCCATCAGGAATCATTGTTCTTACACACAGAATCGTATTATTTCGCTTTCGGGTAGTAATATGTCAAAATTGTTGGTTCTTTAGGCGAACAATGTATGGAGAACGAACATTGTCCTTTATCAAAACCAGATTCATCCCTTAACTTTGCCCATATGAATTTCAGTCTTTTACAGAAATATTTTTTTAATACCAAATCATCAGACATCGTCTGTGAAAGCAGCCATTGATTCGTTAAATTGCACAATAATTTTGTCATAAAATTTTGGAAACATCCTATTTTTTTGCCTATTTACTTTGAAAGCGAGTTCACCTAGAGTCAATTGCACAATGACGCAAATGTCAAAAGCTAACGTAAAGTGTAAACCTCAATAAAAATTCTAAATTGTCCTTTATTCAGGACATCCCGCGTTTTGTCATCTCCCTGGCCGCGTTCTGATATCGTGTAAGCATCAATCATCAGCCTACACCCGATCAATTGCGGCGCGTGAGGTAGGGATGGCGACTTAACAATATCGTAAAGTTGCTTAAATCGAATGAAAAAAAAAGAAAATAAAGGAAGGTAGTTTTATTAGACATACAAAAAGTAATTAAACTTTGTTTCAATCTACACTCAAATATATGGTGCCACTTAGGTGACAGTACCTTACTTTACAGTGCAGTGGCGCTACTCTAGTGTTTGCAAATGTGATAGTCCTCCTACCGCTTTAGCTCTTGCCAGTTGTTGCCACTATGGATGGTGTAAGAATAACAGGATTTTACTCTACGGTACGCTATCTGTAAAAGACTAAAGAGGCTGACAAAGGTGACTGAGTTTCTTCCGCCACTTCTTCTCAGCACCAGCCTATATGTTGTCCCGAAGTGGTGGTAGGGCAAGCTGTATTTGGGACTGGAATGGCCTATGTACTGAACAAACTGTTTGATTTGATTTGATTTAGCCCAAATACGATAGACCTCATTGAGTTTAAATTAAGTTTTGGAAGTCTTTTTAGAATGAGCCTGAGATCTATTCACAGGATCGATCCCTTGTAGTCGATTTAAATCAACGTCTCGATTGACAGCAACGATTCTTCGATAAATTGATCTCGGATCGCCATCCATAGCGTGAAGGTTGCGTTAATTAAAACCCAGATAACCTTTGCCTTTGTTTTTTACCTCACTAGCGCCGGTGATTGATCGCCTGATTAATGGTCAAATGACAAGCCTTTTTGTTGGATTAGATGTGCCATCAATTTGGGCTTTGAACGGATGATTTTATTCCTGACGAACTTTTTACAATCACCGTTATAATGCCTACGTCATAACAAAGCTCAACAAAACGACAGTCGGTTTATAAAACTATAGTGTCAAATTCTAGAACCAAAAGAGACCAAAAATATAATAAAGTAATTTTTGGAATTGGATGGCTTACGAACGAAAA